TTTCTCTCTGGACAATTTTCGTCCTAACGGATCGTCCTAACGGATCGTCCCGACTGCTCCAGGTTCGTACAGACGAAAATGACGAATTTCTTCACAAATTTCTTCAGTTCCTCCAGTACTAAATCCAATTCGTACAGACGAACTGCACTAAAAAAATCAGCTTTTTGAAGGGTTTTACAACATGCATCTTATACCTACTCTAACATATAGGATCATCCTATTGGCTCTTTCATGAAATCAATATTCTCAAATCCTTTTGCTCTGATACCACTCTTGTCACGACCCGGCCCGGTTAGCTCTCAAGTGCAAGGCGGGAATAGAGGTCGGACGGGAAAAGAGACAAGTTATCATAGCATAACATTAAATCATCCAACAAAAATTAACATCTTTACTATAAGAAAATGAAAGAGCCACTAAAAGCAAATCCAAATAAAATTTTCATTTTCATTGATCTTTCAAAAGAGATAAATACATAAAGAGTTCTTCCAAAAGGATGGATCCAAAACACATCTAACTCTCAAAAATCTATACATACAATCATAGAAACATAAGCATGATACTTAAATCATAAAAGAATATAAAAGCAATGTGAGTGGAAGAACGCTAGAGCTTGCATAATAATGTAAAACATGTTATGAGTGAAAGAAATGGAATTTTTCTTCTAAATTTAAAGGAGCCACATTTACCTACCTCAACACAACGAGCATCGCCTACTATCCTTATGAACTTCTCATTTCTACGCATTCAACACCTAAAAGAAATACACATCATTCCCTACACTCATTATAAATTTAAAATAATGCTATTTTCGGAATTACCTTAAAACCCTAAATTTGGAAAACATATTTTCATTAATATTGTTATTTATGCATTCCTAAACTTCCCATAAATCAAATTAATATTTTTGGTAAACTAATTTTCGAATTTATATTAATTAGAAATTAGGGAAAATAGTATTTTGAAAAAAAATTTTAAAATCTCATCATTAGAACACTCCCTCAACCCTTAGGAACAAACTTTGTTAAAAGATTTCCTAAAAATAAATATTAGGGAAAAACCCTAATTTTAAAAACCCTAAAATTCTTGGAAAAACTTTGTTTTTACAAACAAAACACAACTCCTAATATTCCCTAACAATCCTCTATTTAAATCTTTAAAGAAATTCAAAGTTTCCTTAAACCCTAGAAATCTTTTCATCCAAAAATTTAGAGATCGAGAGGGATTCGCTTCAAACTAAACATACCTGAAGACTCCTTTCGTCTTCCTCTTCGATTTGGACTATTTCTCTCGCCGGAAGATCGCCGCCGGAGCCACCACAGCAGAACCCGCGCCGCTCGTCCTGTCCGCCTCTCTCTTGGTTTCAGCCCTTCACGCGTGAAAATGAGAGGGGGAAAGTTTGGTTGGTTCATTTAGGGAGAAAGGGGATATCCAAAATACCAAATTTTCCTCACTTAAGTTATCCAAGCCGTAATAAACACTAAGGGTACTATTGGAATTAAGAGACTTATCAATTTTTTATTTCCTAAAATAAGCAAAATTAAGTATAAGTTTTATATTTCAATTTTCTTTGAATTTTACGTAGAATTTTATAAAATTATTCTCGCCAAAATCCGACAACCTCAAATTTTTCACTTAAAACTCGTCGCGG